GATGTTACCTAGCTGGGTAATGAAACGTTTGCAAAAGAACCAAGCTCAGAAAACCCCAAGGACTTCACAGATCTCTCTCTATGTAGTAACAGGCAGTTCATTTTCATTACTTGCTTGAGACACCAAAGCTAGGGATGTCAAAGACTGAACCTGGGACTCTCTGTATGTAAGCATACGCTCTGCTAAATTATGGATTCACTCCTAAAGACTGCTGGATGCTCATTATGCATTGGCTTAATTCATGTGAGTTCTGCTTCACAATACAGACAGAAAAAGGTAGAAAAATTGGCATAGGGTGCCAATCCTTGCAGAAAAAGAAACATATATTTATTATATAGGCATGGACCAGACAAATACACTATATTACCTGGAAAACAGCACCGAGCTTTGCACCCCTTGCTCATGATTGATCAGCCACAGTCCTCTCAGAGCCATCACATTTAGTTAGCAGACTGCAAGATCACCTTGTCCATGATAGCCTTACTGCCAAGAAGCTTCCAGTTGTAGGCATTGTTTGAGTGTGGCTCATAAATTCTTCCTTCTCATTTCCAGTGCTGCTACTTGCTTCTGCATGGGAGGATTGGATTCTCTTATTCTCCTCCAAACTCCCTTTCCACAATCACACCAGCTGTGCACTTATTAGAACACATTTCTCTCATTAATTACATTCCATGCAAAAATCTAAGGGAGACAGATTAGGGAAGCCTTAGTGTATTGGACAGTAAGCTTTCAAAAGAAAACAAGGCCCTCTCAACCCAAATTAGACCCAGCCCATTCTCTAACTGTATGGAGTTACACCCCAACACCCCAGTTTTGTAGGTCAGCAGCTCCTTGTGCCAAAGCAGGGCTTCCCAGTTTGGACATCCCAGCTCTAGAAAGAGGATCCACACCCCACCCTGACCCTTGTGGCAGGCAGAGAGACAACCTGCAAATTAGGAAGAAACCCAGCTACACTTCCAGGTACGCTAGTGTATTATTCCACTGAGAGGCTTCTCTCCACGCTGGAAAGCCAGACTTTCTTTCAGAACAAAGAGTCTCTCCCCTCCCTCTTTATAAAAGACATCCTCGTAAACCAAGGAGCTGCACTCTGCCCCCAAATTCCTAAGGCATCCCCCCTAAATAGCAGAGTCCTTGCTCCGAAAGGGCCTTCCTTCATAACAGGGAATCGCCTCCTTTAAACCCCCTCAGAAACAACAGGCCTCAACTGCACCAAGCAGAGCCCCATTTTACAACGCACGTTGCCTCCTTCCGCTATAACTCATTCCCCCCTCAACCAGAAACGCCTCCGCCATCCGTCCCTCCTCCAGGCGATGGTCTGAAGAGGCTTCCAACCCCAACGCCGACCTCTTCGCCGGGCCTCTCCTTTCCCCCGAAAGAAGCGGAGAGCGCTTGCACCAGAGGGCCAAGGAGACAGCAGCAGTGGCGGCGACAGCAGCTGACTAAGGCG